TTGAATTTCAATTGATTCTAACGTGATTTTAATTCGATTCTGATTGTTTTTAAAAGGAATTTTAATTGAATTTGAATTGATTCGTAACGGTATTTTGATTCGATTCTGATTGATTTTAAAAGGAAATTTAATTAAATTTCAATTGATTCTAACGGTATTTTGATTCGACTCTGATTGATTTTAAAAGGAAATTTAATTAAATTTCAATTGATTCTAACGTGATTTTAATTCGACTCTAATTGACTTTTAAAGGAATTTTACTTAAATCTCAATTGACTCTAACGGAATTTTAATTCGATTTTAATTGATTTTAAAAGGATTTTAAAGGCGGCCCTACTAAATCCTTTCAATAAATATGCCCCCTAATAATAAATAATTTCTGACCCCCCGGATTATCTATTATTACGGGGGAGGGGGGGGGGACGTCGTTGATTATTGGGGGAAGCGATTACCCAATTTTGGGGTGTGGGGTTTAGGGTTTCGGGTTTAGGGTTTCGGGCTTAGGGTTTAGGGCTTTAGGTTCCACATGGTTTAAGGTTTAGGGGTTTAGGGTTGGTCTTTGGGACCTATAAGGCCAATAATTGAGTTTTTGGACTCTGGGGGTAATACTCGCCAAGTCCCTCTGACGGTAAACCCGTAAGATCTGACGTCTGGCTAGCAAGGAATGCAGGGAAGAACCCTTACTGTAGTCTCAGAAAATCAACAATTATCTCGCAGTTTCTACTTGTTTTCAAGTCCTGCATTCCCTGCTAACCAAAGGTAAGTACCCTAAATCTTATGAACTCCTATATATTCCTGTAAAATCCCTATACAACCCTATGCCTCAACCCTAAACCCTACACGATCCCTACGTAACCCCTTAAGAAAAGACCATAATTTATGTCCCTTGAAACTGCCTCTGCGCGCGTTCATCCATGTGTGGCTCGCCAAGCCATAGACGGCAAAGACCCACAGGACCGGCAGAGTAAACACTACCAGCCTGAGTGGAACAAGGCAGTTAAGGGTCTAGGGTTACTACGTGGCACTTAGGACCCCTACCAAGGGTTAACCCTGAGGTACCTATAATAGGAATATCAGGGAATCCCAAAGGGTTAAAGGTCTAAGGTCCAAGCTAAGTCCCAAGAAGGTTAGGGGTTTAGTCTTCAGGGGTTAGGGATGTGGGTAACCGGGATGATGGAGAATCAACAAGAGAATGAATTGGAAACTAGGGTTCCAGAAGCCATAACCTCTATAGAGCCTCAAACACTAAACCCTAAAAACCCTCAACTCGAAACCCGCAAAAGACTAACCCCCTCCACCTCAAGCTAAAGTTCACCATCCTCCTCATGTTGAAATTCCCATTGTAATTTTCTTCAAAACACATTTGGAAATTCTACTACTAGGGAGCCGGGGCATTGTAATTAGGCGGAGAGGAGTAACCCTTGACCTCAAACACCCTAAAACCTACACGAAAAGCCCTAAACCCTAAACCCTTGACAACGACCCGGCAGCGGGTGAACCAGGAAGCACATCCAGGACACCTTGGTCTGTGTTAGACGCAGTTTAGAGTTTAGTGTCTAAGGTGGTAGGATTTAGGGTTTAGGTTTAGGGTGCTAGGATTTAAAAATATAATCCCCCTTATGTAGTGGCTTTGGGTATACTGTACTAAGATCCCCATATACCCCATATTCTATTTACCTAAGGGGGACTATAACCCTAAACCTAAACCCTAAATCCTAATCCCTAAACCCTATAGTCTATCTACTGAAGGGGGGCTATATATGAAAGGTCCCCAAAGTTGCGTTTACCTGTTTGCGGATCTTCATACTAAGGATCATAGTAAGTGGGGGGGTCCAACATTGGGGTCCCCCTATATGTCGATGCTAAGATACATATGACTACCGTTTTTTTGCCGGTTCAGTTCAGTAAGATCATGTTCATTATGTAAAATACTATACCCCAAAAAGAGGATGTGATCTTACTCTATATTGGGTACCATTGTATCCCCCCAAAACAAAAAAAGCTCATAAATAGTCTAAACGCCAAGTGTCCTCCGTAAGAACCCCTATACTACTCCCCTATATAGTCCCCTACATAACATCCCTTTAAAAGTTTAGCGCTTATGCTTCCTAAACTTCCTAAACTCCCTAAACCCTATATAACCCCCCCTTAAATGAGCTACTAATCCCTATAAAACAGTTAATGGAGGAAATCTTGCACCACCTTAGGTCCCTAAAGTCCTAGGAATTGCAGTCATTTAGGGTCCCTAGGTGGTGCAAGATTTCATCCATCAACAGTAGTCCCCTCTATAGCCCCCCTTCAAGGAGTTTAGACTACAGCTCGCATGCGCTAGCAGTTGGTGTGAGGCGAGCTTGAAGTAAAAGGCCGCTTGGGGTCTAGGGTAGGGTTTAGGATGTTTGGGGTTTAGGGTGTAGGATTAAGCGGGTTTAGGGTTTAAGATCAAGGCGTGATAGGGTTTGGCGTTTGGGTTTAAGGGGGTTTAGGGTTTAGGATTGAGGGGGTTCGGAGTTTAGGATGGAGGGCGTGTAGGGCTTAAGACTAAGGAGTTTTAGGGTTTAGGTTTAAAGGGGTTTAGGGCTTAGGATCAAGGGGGTTTAGGGTTTAGGATTAGGGGCTTAGCATTAAGGGCTTAGGGTTTAAGATGAAGGGTTTAGGGTTCAGGGTTCTCATGGCTGATTGATAATGTGGCTTTTGATGGATCACCCCTAAAGCCTAAACCCTAACAAAATAGCCTGGTTTCGCATCTGCTGTCTGTTTGTCATCTCCTTCACTATTATCTTTGGAGGCCGAAGTGCAGGTCTCCTTTATGGGTTCAGGGTTTAGGGATTGGGCAAGCGGCAAGCACAGAGCATGCTCAAATCATGAGCAAGCGGCGTCATTGTAGAACAGCATGATGCTGAGATTCTACTCGACTCAATCCCCTGTGTTCTTCACTTGAAGCCAAACAAAACTGGCATGCACGGATCTGAGGTTCAAGACTTAAGGGAGGGAATAATTTTGGGGAGTGAGGTAACCCATGACGAAAAGGGTGGGTAGGACAACCAGTATCGGATCGAGGTCGACAGCCCTGATGATGCTCACAAAGAGGGTGCACAGTAATCTCGACCTATGGTGAGGACAAAGCATCTGCTCACGTAATGTGGAAGTCTGGATTACCAGCAGTAGCATTTCCTTTTACAACCTTTTCCGACTGTAGTAATGTATCATCCCACCTTTTGAGCCCTTTGAAGAACCGAAGAACGATTTTGGGTTGACGGTTGAGGGCTAAGGACTCCTAGCCTCACCATTGTTGCTTGAGGCTTTAGCGTTTCGGGGGAGGTTAGGGGGGATTATTGGAGATTTTCTATGGGGATAATCCGGAAATATCTTTCACGGAGGAACTCTTACACCACTTGAGGCCAGGCCCCGAAGTACTGCAA